TCTCGAAACGATGAACCTAACCTCGATCTTGTCTTGTATAGTTATATCGTCTGGCACTTACGCCGTACGCAAGCCACAGCTGCACCACAACCTACCGTGAATTGCACCTCGCGTGTCGCACTGTCCGCACCGTCCGCACCTATCAGTGGCTGATCTCACGATTCGGTGGGATCGACTTGCCTCAAGACTGGAAGGTACGCCGTGGAGATTATTCTACGGCTACATTTGAGAGGACTACCGCAGGGCAGCTTTGCTTTGTCCTTGACTACCGTCCCTCAGCTCCCCGCTGGGCCGGGTCATGGACATCACAACTATCTTGAACAGAAAAGGTTCTGCAGCCATGGTCGCCGCAGAATTCGATCATCAGCAATTCATACAGAATCCTCATCTTGATACATCATCTCCGAAGATGAAGCCGGAGCCCGGGGTCTCAGAGGCTGGTGACCAGCCAGTACTTGCGTACCCTCCTCACGCGCCGCTCGGCCAAATGCCGAATATGCATCCGGATATGCGATACCAACCGCAGACACACCCGAACTCTGCGCTACCACTTTTGCAAAATCCTTATGTGCCAGGGGGATATACAAGCGCTCCTCCAATGCCAAACGGTGGTGCTCCCCAGGGCAGGACAGATCCTCCACCCAAAACATTCCACTGTGGCACCTGCAGTAAGGGATTCGCGCGACGCAGCGATCTGGCGAGACATGGTAAGACTATATAAAAAGGTACTACAATGTTCAGCAAACTGACAAAGTGTAGAACGGATACACTCTGGTATTAGACCACACGCTTGTGATTGGCCAGGATGTGGTAAGCAGTTCATCCAGCGCTCTGCCTTGACCGTGCATTCCCGGGTCCATACCGGCGAGAAGCCGCACATGTGCGAGAGATGTGGAAAGGTATGTGTCGCTATTTTCATTTAGCAAGAGCCAATGATCAATATCTAACATCATGGATATAGCCTTTTAGCGATTCATCCTCTTTAGCTAGACACCGCCGGATACATTCCGGTAAACGCCCCTATAAATGCCCCTATGCCAATTGTCAGAAGACCTTCACACGGCGTACTACTTTGACACGCCATCAAAACCACCATACGGGTACCATTGAAGAGGCTGCCGCAGAGACTGAAGCCAACCTGCGGCAAAATAAGGAGAGAGCGAGAGTGCCCGGTGAGGGAATATACTCAGAACATGGCTCTGTTCATTCTACCCCATCTCCCGCCCACCACCCTGCTATCTCACCAGCTGGTGAGCTCCCTCCATTGAACATGCCTCGCTCGTCTGGCGAATACTACAGCATGGGAAATGGCTCTATTCCTCCTCACGTCCGCGGAGACTTTCAGCAGGCCAGCCCTCGCGCTTCCCCAACGGCAACCTCTCCATCTCTGTCCAGTTTTGGTAGTGCTCCACACACCCGGCCGTCGATGACTTCTCACCCGTCAGGTTACGGCCCTCCTCAACCTCTCGAGCCGCCTGCCAACAACGACCATCGGCCCAACAGTGTTAATGGGAGTCCCCACATGACAAGTTTAGGTTGGGCTTCGCCGTCCCACGGTAGCATCCCATCACCGGGCTCCGCAACCGATTTCGGCTATTCTGATCCTAATGGTCCAGCATACCCGAACTCAATGCCGCCTCACATGTACTTTCCCAACTCCACCCTCCGACGTCCAACTAGCACTGAACCCGAGAATTATGAGATGAAGCCAAAGCTTGGCGAGAGTGCATGGTCAACACCGGTCTAGAGTCTCAATGATCGGCAGGACCTCTGATTTGGGACATAGAGATCTGGTTAAGAACCATATACCTTACGCAGTGTCCTACCTCAAGCGACGAGTTTGACATTTGCATATCATTTCCTTTGTTCTGGCATTACTTTCCTTTGTCATCTCATTACAGGCCTTGCATACCAGCATGTTATTTTTTTCTCCCTTTGATTTTCGTTTCGTTTTCCTTTGTCATACATCGTTGTGGATATCCGAGATGTTATTCTCTTAGCATTCCGTTTGAAGGTGTAAGCGCGCTGGAAGGAGTCCGGGCTTAGCTGATTTGATTCCCGTGTTTTGCTTGTGCTCTCTATTTGTTGCTCCTAATGTGTGATATGACTCGAACGAACACAAAATAAATAAATAGAGAGGTGGGAATGGTTCAGGGCTAGGTTGGACGGGGGTTTTTTTTTGGGAACTGGGATATTCTGGTCTGGTCTGCTTTGGTCGCGGGGTTTCTGGTATCATATACCATGTTATTATTGTGCATTATCATTTGTCTCCTTACCCCCTTGTCACATTATACCTCATATCCTTTTAATATTCGCCGTACCCCCTGTGTTTACTTTTTCTTCTTGTTTCCTTTGTCTCAATACTCATTCACACCGTTGTTGTAAATGATTCACCTACTGTATGATATAGAGAAAGAACACCTGCTTAATCTGATACCATGGTTTCGTGTGTCCTGGGCACTTGAAAATACCTCTTGTCCTCCATTCATCTATTCGATGTTTCTTGAGTTGAGACAGTAGGTAATACAGATAAATTGCAATGGATGAAATGGATGCGTTGAGTCAAACTAAAAGCAGATTCACTATCGAAACGGTTTGTAACGGCGGTGTACTATATGGGTCAGATCCAGGGTACCTAATTCTGACCTTTTGGCCTAGTTAGGAGCGTGTTTGCCTGGATTGCACGCCCTCACACTGTTAGTGGCCACAAGGCCGCGATAGATCGCGGTGCAGATTCAGGCCGCACGGTTGAGGATTAGGACTTATATCCAAAGCAGCAGGCATAAAGCTCTGTATTTGTGAAGGGTAGTAGCCCGCTTGTGAAGACGGCGTGTTAGGTCTGGTAGTCTTTTATCTAACTAGATATCATAGTGATAGTACCATCATTATATCGACTTGGATGTAAATCGGTAGGGATGTGCAAGCCTAATCCTTCGGTCAATGGAATAAAATGTGCAGTTCTTTCTACGGCACATGGCAAGAATTGACATTAATGAGTTACTTACTTTGTGTATGTTGGGAATATTGGCCATTGATTGAATATATCATGTATTCGTTACTTGAATCCTTCTTCCAACTCAGGAGACTCTATGCAGGGTATCCGCCAAAGGGTTCATTTACCATACAAATGCCGAGGTTTATCACGCAGCTCTACTCAACACCCATCATGACAAGTATTGCTCATACCATATACTTCGTACCAACGGTGAACTATAGAAACCGGCCGAGTCATGGGCTATCATGTCTCATCTAATCAATAAATAGCTTCGTCCAGCGGAGTAAAATGGCAATCGAGAGCGACTAATAGACTAGACAAGCTCGAATCCTAGTCCCCCCACAAACAAACCAGAGGATTTTCTTTTGTCGGCAGCATTTGTACTTTGACTAACTGGGGGAGACTCAACTTCGACGCCAGCTGTAACGAAGACCGAGCGATCCATAAATATACACCACAGCTCAACTAGCCTGCTCATGAATCAAGCACGGGTCATAGTATATGTCTGCAGCACTTTACTCTCAGCCATACGTAAGTCACCATTGCAAACGTAACGCGGCCAAGGTTTAAAGGAGCCCCTGAGTATGTTGCCGCCTCAAGTGACATGTGAGATATCACAGATCATCGAGCAACTCGATGCAAGTTGTCATTGCTTCTGGTCAATCATATTGGGTTAGATCCACAAATTTGGCCGCCTGCTCATCAATGAGAGCTGAACCTTCATTCCGTTTCGCGCATGATGCAGGTTCCCCCGCTCTCTGGTCTCTCCCTCTTTCTAACCTGCACGGGTTGTTATCGTTGTCAGTCTCTTCCGGTTCTAGCCCACGGTCCATCAGGCAGAGGCAGCAAGAGCATGCATGGGTGCTATTGTGCATTGTTGCTTTGAAACTGAGGACGATGCCATAGCGTAGTTTAATTTTGATTAATATCAAGCACTTTTAGTGGCTAGAATATTGTTGTAGACAGCTTTTAAACTCTTCCTTTTGTTTGACTTTGCACCTGCAATTGGGGAAAGAAAGAGTGATCCCCTACTTCCAAGACATACATACATTATTATATGATTCTAATCGTGCGTTCCCTTCCAGAGCTTCAGACCGCCGGGGGGGGAAGAAACTGACCTAAGCCCCGTTCGGATTAGCGACCAAATTAGCCACGAAGAATGACGTCGCCGGACGTTCTTCTTCGTCACGAAATTACGGTAATTACAATGGTATCGTTACGAATTCCGAACAATCGGCAAGCCACGTGCGGGCCTTGGTTCAGTGGGGACTAGTACCAGAGTAGCTTAGCGGGCTCATCATTACGGTTGATCCGGGGTAAAAGAGGCGTCCTCGTCAGGTTCGCCTTTATTGGAAATCCGTCTTGTGGGAAGGAGGGGGTGGGGGCTCCAAGGCTTCCCAAGGACCATGGAGAGAACGTTCTCTTTACCAGGATGTTCCCTCCACATCGTCAGTGGGGTATCACTTGCTTTTTCTCTGGAGAGTGGGATTTTAAATCAGTTAGGCAAACGCCTTAACGTGCGAACTGCCAGTTGTACTAATGATGGCGAAAGAGCAACCTTGTGATAGAAAAAAGGACTGGCGCATGAACTTAAACGCCAAATCATACATTGAATTCCATCGAGGCTGCGTGAGAGCCTCCTTGCAGACGATGTAGTATTGCCTTACTTCATGACAGATCTCTATGTATTGTATTACATGCATGTGTTTTTTGCTATACTGGGAAGACAATCACAAACGCAAAATGCAGTCACCAGACATGAGTATGTGATATGAGAACAGACCATGATAAACGCCTCGAAGCAAACTCGCAATATTGCCTCGTCATGCTAGAACATTTGTGATGCGATAAGGGAAAAGAGATGAATAACATAAACATCCAAGAATGTAAAACGGGTGATCCGTTCCGTGAACAACCCGGATCTAACAATGTGACATAGGAAATTAATAACACATCCCCCGTATCGATTTTTTATTATTTATTTTTTTTCATATCGAGTAGTCGTTTAGAGCCCTTCGCGGAGCCGCCGGTCTTCATCCCAGATTTCCTCTTTCATCTGCTGTAGTCGAAAGTGCTGTCGCCGTAACTTCTCCAGCTCCGCCCTCGGTGGATCTGAATGGGCTGCCATTGTATCGTGCAGTGCACGGTACTTAGCATAATAATGTTTAAAGCGCTGCGATTTCTCTCGCAGTTGCTGCAGAAGAATCTCCCGACTAAGGGGTGGTGATGCACTTCCGGTGCTACCACTCGATGTGCTAACCGCCCGTCGTCGCTTGTGCTCCAAATCCCCCGTTGTACGTCCCTGGGCGGGGGTTGCAGAAGGGCGGTCTAGTTCCACCTTGCGCTTGAGGGGGTTGAGCGCCGGAGTCGCCTTAACCATGCCATTGGTTTTCACCTGTTTCTTAACATTGGAGGTGCCCGTAGCCTTGTTTGGTTTGGATGTTTGAGTAATCAAAGGTGATGAGGAAGAACTGGAGGAATTGTTCTGACTCGAAGAACGACTACGACTCTGTAGGTCAGAAGCATTGGCCGGGGGGGATGAGCCGAGAGGCGACGGCTTCTGAGGAGATTTCTGGGCCGGAGGGCGGGAGGATGGTGGCCTCTTTGATGAGGTAGTAGGCTTTGGAGGATTTGGGGGCGACGGTTCGGCTTTGGATGGGGGGCGCTCCGACTGGTCTACCTTGGGTGTCGGCACATGGGAGGACTCTCGAGGAGAAGACTCGGCCAGTTTGGGTGGCGCTTTAGGCTGCGGCTTAGTTTTCTCTGGAAGAGGCTGTTCCGATGCCGATGCATCTAGCATGTCTGTGTCATCTTCATCTGAATCATGAACGTATTCTGCTGATTTAAACTTCCCATCCGGCTTGGGCACTGGCCTCCGCTCCGGCTTTTTAGTGACACGCCCAGTCAAGGTACTGTTCGTCGTATTCTTGCCCTTTGTAGTAGATTGCTTCGCTGCAGAGTTGCCGACTCGCTTCTTTTGTGGGTTGGCACCAGACCGGGGAGCTGATGTGGGCTGTGTCTTGGGGGTCAAGCCATTTCCATTGGCCCTGTCGGTTTCCGGTCCAGTAGTGTCGCCGTCTTTGCCGCTCTCTTCGGGGTTTTGTACTTGTATCCGAGGAGTCAGCGGCTTCTTGATAGGGCCAGTGCGCAAGTTCAGCCGTGACAGACACTTCCCCTTCCCTCGCTCCTCCCTTGGAAGAAGCATCTGCCATAGCTTGTCGGTGCGGGAGATCCGCATACGATCAAATGCCGAGATAGCATTCTCAATGGCTTCCTGCCGCTCTTCCTGAGACGGATAAGGAAAGCTCCATACATCCAACTCTCTGTATGCTTTATCCTTGAGATCGAACTTCTCCGGGTTAATTCGGTTCTCGGCACCGTATTTCTGAGCCAAAGCCGTACAGTCTTCGATGGACGAGCGAGTCTGGCGAGCAAGGAACTTGGCGGATACGGCACGGACGGCGAGAAGGTGAATGAAGGGAACCTTAAGAGCGTCGAGGCGAATACGGTCTTTGTTTTGGGAAAGAGGAGCCGAGGTAGGAGTAAGGGGAGGTACAGAAGTAGGAGACCGAGAGACACCCAGAGCTGGGCTGGATGACAACGAGCGGTTGGTTGCATTTTTCAGCAACCGGTCCTTTTCCAATTCCACCTTACTCGATGACTTACGGGCTAAAAGAGCGGCCTGCCTTTTGTCGCCCGCTCGAAGAGCCCTCACCTCATCAATGCTGGTAATTATATGGGTCTTCTTCGATTCCTTTCCCCTCTCAAAGGCGTTCAAGCTCTGTTCGAGGTTGGCCAATGCTTGGTCTGTGGCCGCAGTAGCTTCTTTTGCTTTCTGAACCTCCAGGCTATGGCTCAGGACACCGGTAAAATATAAGTTTTCTTTGTCATTGGAGCTGCTGCTATAGATCTCGGACCGGTGAGTCTCGGGATGAGAGTGAAACGGTTGTGATTTGGACCCGTAGTAGAGAGTAGGATGTTTCCCTAAACGGACCCTAGCTGTTTGGTCGTCCCGTAGAGTTTGGATCAGTTCGTCGAGGGTGTTCTGAGCTAGGTTTAGCCGCATGATCTGCGTTGATTTAACCGTGGAATCGCTCCCGGGGTTGTCTCTGTATAGAGACAACCCGGACACTGGCACCTCAAGAGCCGGCATGAGGTCGCGGGAAAGTCGTAGAGGAGGTAATGGCACCGAAACGAGAGAACGGAGGAGAGGATACGATGGAAGATCGAAGGGAGAAGAGGAATTGAGAGGAAGGCCAGGTAGAGGACGTCCGGGTGAAAGACGGGTAGCAGCGTGAGAGCTGCAGGTCAGCGGCCGAATACACGGGAGGACGAGTCAGAACAACACGCCATAGATCAAGCAATGGAGGTTAGAGAAGAGGTGAAAGGGAGTTTGCATATGGAATAGCAAACGAAAGTCTTGAGTAACCAAAACCCATGGCAGAAGGGTTGGCCTTGGGAGTTGGATCTCGGAGGGGAGGGAGTGGAGGACGGAGAGGGGAAGGGGTGGGGAGAGAGAAAAAAAAAAGAGGAGAGAGGGAGAGAGGGAAAGCTGAGATGAGATGATGCCAAAGAAAGCAGGATGAGAGCGTAAGGCGGCCCTAGAGCGGAGAGAGCCAGAAGTGAGTAGTTGAGTGGGGAGAAGCGGTATGGTATTGTTCAGGGTACCTTTTCTGGGCCAAGGAGTTGTCAGGCCCGCAGGATGTTTAATCCCATTTGGGTCCGGGTGTATAATACGAATCATCTTCACGGTTTGATTGATTAATTTATTTTACCACTTGAGTGGTATATACACCTACTACAGTGCAGTCCTCCGGTTACTACCGTTTACTATACCCTGTAAGAAGGACCTAGCTACTAAAGTCGCCCCGTCATAGAACCAAGAAAAGAAGTCAATAAACTTCAGTATTATAGGTCGTTCGATGCGGTTCCCGGAGGTTGTCGGCCACCCATCATGCGGACTTCGACAATTCCATCCATACCTACCTTTCGGGAAAGAAGAGAAAAAGGACAAGGCAGAGGAAAAATCGTGTGGCAAGGAAGGGTCAGAATGCCTGAGACGAAATGGAAGTATCAAGAGAGAAATCCGCGTTTGTATCATACGTACCAAAAGGTCTCCAGAACTTTACTGTACCAGGAGAAATAATCAGAGGGAAAGAAAGGACGAATAATAATAGGAAGGGGAAAATAATAGTACCACCACTAGTACCTAGTACGGAGAAGGGCGTACCGTATGGGACGGAAGGCCCGCCCCAACTACCGTACGGATGGCAAGGCAGCGGGTATTTTCATACATAGTCACGGGCACCTCCTAAATTAATAGTGACCTCCGTTACAGAATAGAATACATACCAGGATTGACTTATGATGCTACTAGGTCACTAGTAAAGTCTTCTCTTTCTCCTTCTGGAACATTGATCCCTACCAACGATCGATCGGAAAAGCAATCACGGATGGAGTCATCCAAAACCTAGTACTTTTTGTTGTCTGGGAGTTTTCACCTCGACTCTGTTTTGCTTTTTTTTTTTTTTTTTTTGTTTTTTAAAAAGAATGGGGTAGGAAAAGGATTGGAAGACTCGAGTCTTGTCTCATCTTTTATTCTATTGTTCCATTAATAACATCAATCTTTTTTTTTTCTTTGTCCTTACCCCGTACCGGCGAAAAGCTGAGAGAGTCCAGAGCCAGCCAGTCCTTCTAGGCTGAGTCTGTGACAGCCCCGGTACCGTACGCTGTACGACCCCGTCGCTGCAGTGGTACGGAACCGGAACAGCTTGTTCGACAACGCTATCTTACGCCATGGCCATGCCTCTGCCACCGACGCCCCCACCATGACTGACAAGAAAACTGGGTCCAACCCAACAGTCGAGTTCGGAACTCCTCCTTTGTCTCTTGATACAGGTCAAATAAAATAAAAGGAGCGTCGGAATATAGAGAATACTGAGAGATAAAAAAAACGCCCAAGGATCTAAGAGACTGATAAAGTATTGTGTGCGTGGAGAGAGGGTGAAAAAAAAAAAAA